TCTGGTGTCCCATGAGCCTGACATCCTACCAAGTTCCAGGACAGTAACTGCGAGCGGAGAGTGACTGGGCCATCAGGAGCATACCAGCCCTTCTACACAGCTATCCTGGCCTTCTCTTGTTTTGCACATACACGAAGATAAATTAAGCTTGTTTTTACTTTTTCTTTTCTCTTTTAAAAGAACATTGCACGGCCTTCTCGATTACTTTGAAGGCATCTTGGCTGGGATGCTAAAGTGTCAGAATGCAAACAACTCTCGGTCTCACTCCTTGCTATAAGAATGTTGTATTTATGCCATCTCTTTGGAGGGCAATTTTTGAAGGAGAGGCCACAATCTCTAAAATGCTGGAGTTCCTCCCAGTGTGCCCTTGGGAGTGGCCTCTTCTTACTGTTTTCCTTCTAACTGATACCACCCACAACTATGGCTTTATTTATCTGTTCACCCACCATCCACCCATACACAATCCATCCATCCACCCATCTGTCTATCTGTCCGTCCATCCATCCATCCGTCCATCCTCTCATCCATCTATCCATCCATCCATCATCCATCCTATCATCCATCCATGCCATCCATCCATGCCATCCATCCATCCATCCATCCATCCATCCATCCAACATCCACCCATCCACCCACCCATCCATCCATGCCATCCACCCATCCAACCACCCATCCATCCATCCATCCATCCATCCATCCATCTCCATCCATCCATCCATCCATCCTCTCATCCATCTATCCATCCATCCATCATCCATCCTATCATCCATCCATGCCATCCATCCATGCCATCCATCCATCCATCCATCCATCCATCCATCCAACATCCACCCATCCACCCATCAAATCCAGGGCCTTGAACATACAAGGTCTCTACATCCTATCCCATTTAAAATTTTTATTCAATTATTTTTTTGACAAAGAGTCTTACTAGTCCAAGTTGGCCTTGAACTCATCCATCCATCCATCCATCCATCCATCCATCCATCTCCATCCATCCACCCATCCATCCATTCACACATGCATCCACACATCCATCCAGGCATCTATGCACCCATGCACCTATTCATCCTCTCATCCTTCCACCCATTCACCCATTCATCCATCCACGCACCCATGCACCCATCCATGCATCCATCATCCATCCATTCATCTACCTCCTATTCATCCATATACAGACCATCTATTCATCTACCTACCAACTATCCATCCATTCATCCATCCACCCACCCATAATCCATTCATCTATCCATTCATCCATCTATCTACCATCCACCCACCTACTCGTCACTCATCCATTCACCCATCATCTATCCTTCTATCTACCTACCATCCATCCATTTAGTCACCTACCCACAATCCACTTACCCATCCATCCATCCATCTTCCATCGCACCTATTTATCCACCTCCCTTTCTCCCACCTTTCCTCCTCCCATTTGTCCTCTCCTCCTCATCTCTCTTTCTCTCTTCCTCCCTCTCTCTGTCATCCATCCCACAGCCATTACTGAAGCCCACACGATGTGGCAGCCCCCCGCCCCCGCCCCCGTATTGGGAAGCACGTTGGCCTCTGTTTCTAGACAGGGCATCCAGGTGGAGCAGCTTCCTCAGCAGCTCATCCCCAGGTCTCACAAGCACCTCATACTCACTTTCCCCTGGAACCTGGGCCTCCTCCAGCACGCCAGAACTTAACAGTCCTAGAGAAGTCTTTCTGCCACTTGCCCTCTGACTGAATTCAGTTCCATTATGGAGGCCTGCTGACTTCCTTAAGACCCCTGATCTTTTCTTTTCTCCACCCGCTTCTTGGCCCTAGTGTGACCACTGTCACCTTAATGACAAAAGCTTCTCCCCAAGGTCCTGCAAGCCCCCACATGTATAGCCCCTCCTCACCACCCCCCCAGCCTGCTTAATCACTCCTCTCATTTATTTTGGCCCCTTGTGTCCTTCATTCTTTACTCCTGGCCACCACCACCCTTCACCCCGAATACTCTTCCCTCCCCTCCCTCTTTGGCAAACAACTCCTATGCATCCTACAGATGCCCCATTCGTTCTGACCAGGGGACCTGCATGTCTTCATAGCAATTGTATCCATTCAAGTTTTATGTCTACTTGAGGGCTTTTTCTATGAACATGCATCCCTCCCGCCCTCTGGGGCCATAAGCTACATGAGGCAAAGGCGGTGCTTGTTCATCCCCAATATTTTTTTTTCCTCCCCAATATTTTCTTTGGAAAGGTTTCAAGCATAAAATGCAGAAAATTTTGCAAACAAATAGGCACATACCCACAGTCTGGGTTGTCTCTTTTGTAACCCTGTTGTGTCTCTGCCTGTATGTGTCGAAGGAAGATGACCTGTGCCCTTTGAACTCCAGGGTGATGGCTCTTTGAGAAATGACACCCATCTCAGCATGATTTAAAAGAGAGAAACTGAAGGCAACTTCAAGCCCACAGCAGGGGTCCGATCAGCTAAATAGACAATAGTGCATCTCCCAGTAGCTCCACCACCAGTAACAGTCACGTGGGTTGTGGGTTGGTCTAGACTGATATGGATGAGACCTCCTGCTGAGGTACCGTTAGGAACAAAACTACAGGACTTTGGTTTTTGTAGAACACTATTTTTTTTAGAATTAAAAAACCCATCTCAGCATGATTTAAAAGAGAGAAACTGAAGGCAACTTCAACGCCCACAGCAGGGGTCCGATCAGCTAAATAGACAATAGTGCATCTCCTAGTAGCTCCACCACGAGTAACAGTCACGTGGGTTGTGGGTTGGTCTAGACTGATATGGATGAGACCTCCTGCTGAGGTACCGTTAGGAACAAAACTACAGGACTTTGGTTTTTGTAGAACACTATTTTTTTTAGAATTAAAAAATAAATGAATTTAATACATACTTTGTGCCAGGTGATATTCTAATTCTTTGCATAAAAGGACATGTTTTATTAAATTTTTTTATGTGTATGTATGTTTTACCTGCTTGTATGTAAGTGCACCATGTTGTATGTGATGACTGCAGAGGCCAGAAGAGGGTGTTTGATCCCCTGAAACTGGAGTTAAGATGGTTGTGAGCCATCTTGTGGGTGCTGGGAACTGAACCTGGGTCCTCTGCAAGAGCAGCCAGTGCTCCTGACTAGTGAGCCATCTCTCCAGCCCCTAAACTGTAATCTTTAGATTTTACAGCTAAGCAGTGGTTGCTCCTTACTGTACCCACTTTCCTGGTGACAAAACTGAGGCATAGCAAGAGCAAATAGCTAGCCTGGAATCACATTGCTTTCTCCAGGGGAAAAAAACTGTGGAAACTGCAAAAATCACAACAGTTGTGGCTGAGACTTCAGTTAAATTTTCCTTTTCATGTATGTGTGTGTGTGTGTGTGTGTGTGTGTGTGTGTGTGTGTGTGTGAGTGCAAGCATATGTGTACACGTGCACGTGGAGGTCAGAGGTGGATGTCAGGTGTCTTTCTCAATCATGCTCCATTTTATTTTTTGAGACCCTGAACCTGGAGCTCACTGGTTGGTCTAGGCTGGCTTGCCCCAGATGTGGCAAGCCCCAGGGATCCTCCTTTCTCTGCCTTTCCAGGGCTGGGATTACAAACATATACTGCCATGCCTGGCTTTTCCCATGGATTCTGGAGGATCAAATCTAGTTTCTCATGCTTGTGTGGCAAGCATTTTACTGGCTAAGACATCTTCCCAATCCCTAATCTTTGTTTATTTTTATTTATGTGTATGAGTGTCTTGCCTGCATGTATGTGAGTACACCTGTGTGCCCCAGAGACCAGAAGAGGGAGTCGGATCCTCTGGAACTGGAGTTTCAGATGGTTGTGAGCCTCCCCGTGGGTGCTGGGAACTTAATCTGGGTCCTCTGCAAGAACAGTTAGTTCTCTTAACCTCCAAGCTATTTCTCCAGCCCCCATCTTTCCTTCCTTCCTTCCTTCCTTCCTTCCTTCCTTCCTTCCTTCCTTCCTTCCTTCTGTTTTCTTCTTTCTGTGGTGCTGGTCTCCTCTCCTCTCCTCTCCTCTTCTCTTTTTCTTCTCTCTCTCTCTCTCTCTCTCTCTCTCCCCCTTTCCTTCCTTCCTTTTCTTTCCTTTTCCTTTTTTTGGCCTTTTTGAGACAGGGTCTCTTTGTAGCCCCAGCTGGCCTGGAACTATGTAGACCAGACTGGCCTTGAACTCAGAGATGCGCCTGCCTCTGCCTCTGCCTCCCGAGTGCTGGGATTGAAGGCGTGTGCCACCACACCTGCCTTCTTTCCTTTTTCCTTCCTCCCCTCCCCTCCCTCCTCCTTTCTTCTTCCTTCCTTCTTTCCTTTCTTCCCTTCCTTCTCTCTCTTTTTTGAGACAGGGTCTTCCTATAGCCCCAGTTGACCTAGAACTCAGTATGTAGACCAGGCTGGCCTCAATCTCACAGAGATCCACCTGCCTCTGTTTCCTGGGTGCTGGGATTAAAGGCATGCACCACCATGCCTGGCTCCCAGCCCTTATTTAAAATCTTTCATTACCTTTTCTTTCTTTATTTTGTGTGCATGTGTGTGCACAGAGAGGTCAGAGGACAACTTGTGGGAGTCGGTTCTCTCCTCCTACCCTGTGGGTTCTGGGGATGGAACTCAGGTCTTCAGGTCTGGTGGCAAGCACATTTACTGCTGTGCAATCTTGCTGGCCATTATTATTATTATTATTGAAAAAACCAAGGGCTGGGGAGATGGCTCAGCAGTTAAGAGAACTTACTGATCTTACAGAGGACTGGAGTCGATTCCCAGCACCCACATGGTGGCTCACAACCATCTGTAACTCCAGTTCTAAGGGATCCAGTACCCTCTTCTGGCCTCTGAGGGCTCTTGGATACACATGGTGCACATAAACACATGTACACACCACACACACACACACACACACACACACACACACACGCACAAATCACAAAGGCTTCCTCACCATGAGTCCTGTCTCAGAAGGGTTTACCCCGACACTTCAGAGAAGTGCAATTATATGAGAGAAAAAGCCCAGTAACCTTTGTCAGCGCCCGACAGGTGGATGCTGAGGTCCCCAAGCAGCTGTTCTGTTTCCTCCAGCCAGGACAGTGACACGCTCAGGATGTCCAGTGTGGCCTTCTGCAGCCCTGACATGGGTGGGCTGAGCTGAAGGAGCTGAAGGCGTTCCACCTCCCTCTTCAGGTCGCCACTGCCACAAGGCTTCTTCATACAGGCCTGGAGACAGACAGCCATCAGCAGCCCAGAGCACCGCCCGGGGGACCTGTTTACTCAGTTTCTTACAATAGCTTTATTTTCTTTCATTTTAATTTGGCAGGTGGTGTGTGTGTGTGTGTGTGTGTGTGTGTGTGTGTGTGTGTGTGTATGTGTGTGTGCGCTACGTGGTGATTGTGTATAGTGTGTGTTTGTGGTGTGTGTGGTGTGTGGCATGTGTGTATAGTCCATGTTTGTGATTATGTGTGTGAGGTGTGTGTGGATGTGTGAGGTATATGTGTGGTGTGTGGTGTATATGTGTGTGGTATGTGTGGTGTATGTGGTGTATATGTGTTTGTGGTGTATATGTGTACTGTGTGTGTGGTGTGTATGTGAGTGTGTGTGCTGTGTGTGTGTTAAGTGTGTGTGGTGTGTGGTGTGTGT